TCGGCTCCCTTCCACCCATCCTCCAATGGACTGGCTGAGAGAATGATGTGCACCACCAAAGATGCCCTCAAGAAACTGACTTACGGTAACTGGCATCACAGGTTAGCAGATTTCCTTCTTGCACACCGCACCACACCATGCACTGCTACTGGGAAGAGCCCCGCTGAACTCCGCTGGGGTCGCTGCCTCATCACTAAACTGGACAGGTTGCGCCCTGACCAGGTAGCTTCACACAGGTGTCACAACTGCAGACACCTAGGAGACTCCAGGTGGGCGATCTGGTCTGGGCAAGAAACTATGGGCCTGGACATCTCTGGGTCACTGCTGTGGTCTGCAAGGTCTCGGGGCCGTTGTCATACGAAGTTGCCTTGGATGACGGCCGCGTTCTTTGACCAACTGCATTGGAGACTGGACTCCCACCCTTCCACTCCTGGCTCTGCTCTGGGGGGGGGGGAGGACCATAATATGCATTCTGGATTATTGCTTCCTAGGACTAACAGGCCATCACTAGCTGCTACTGAGGCTGTTTGGGATTCATCCCAAGGTTCCGCAAGTGCTCCTAACAGGAATTCGCTGGATAGGGGATCATCCCACACATCCATAATCACTCCAGACAGGGAGACTGACCGGGGATATCCACACAAATCACAAGCAGCAAGAGAAAAGGAATTCCATCAGGGGCGCTTGCCAAATTCCGCAATTTCTCCCAAAAGGAGGTCTCCAGGGGTTGCCATGGAGGCAACTCCTGACTCTGACACCTGGGGCACGTGTTTGGGGGCCACTGAGTATTGGGGCACTTCCGTTACCCAGCCCTCTCCATCTGCTGGCCTTGGGCTCGAGGGACAGTGTTCCCAAGAAGGGTCCATTGTGACCCGGGGACTTCCACCCCATCCAAGGTATGCTGGTTTGGACTTAGAGGGTCCAGCCAGCCAGCAGCTGGGTGGGTCAACCGGGTATTTGGGGCAGCAAAGCCTTGGCCTGCCTAGCCTGGTAGGTGAGCAGGTAGGCCAGGCACCCTCACCAGGGTCACTTGGGGTTTTAGGGCAGCAACACCCTGGCCTGATAGGCGAGCAGGTGGGCCAGGCAATCTCTTCGGGCATTAGAAAGTCGCAGTGGGCCAAGTGCCCACCCAAACATCTGAGAGACTTTGTGAAGTTGCTGTCAAATCATGAGGGACCTGTTCATGAGGCCCATGAATAATGGGAGCAACTCGTGGGTAGATCATTTTGCATTATTTTTTTGATTTCGGTTACATTTGTTGTATTACTAAAGATTGAAGGGGGTTTGCCTGATGGCAGACTTGAGTATTCCATACTCCTTGCATTTGATTAATGAAACTATATAACACTCTCCCCAATGCATGGTGTACATGTGTGTGCGCAGAGTGTGTTCCATCTAGGGGGGAGGGGTGTTGTGTCCTGAGCCTGCAAAAGCAGGTTCGGGACGTTGCATTGGTCCCGGGCATTCCAAAAGCTGCCCATGACCAGACAGAGCGGCGCCGGCCTTGTGCACATGCGCAAGGCGCGAAAACGCTCTATTCTATTGGTTGACGTTGTCCGGGTTTCTGGCCATATAAAAAGGCCTGCATGCCTTTTGCTTGGGTATTGTTAGAAGGAGAATAAAGAGTTGTTCAACCTCGCCATGTGTATTCATCATTCGCACACGAACGAAGCACTTAACAGGGTTCAAGAAGAAAAGTTAATTGTGATTCAATTTTGGATACATTTCTGTGTCTGTGAAAGGGAAAAATGTTTGGAATTGACGGGACAAGTACGCTATGATTTAATTCATGCAGCCAAACACTTCTAGGTAGATTAGGGGCCCTGAGGTAATCCGCAATGTCTGGCAGGATGTCAAAGATGTTTTTTTCATGAGGCAACTGGACTTTCTTGTTTTTCTTTGGAGACATTTTGCTTCTCCTCCAAGAAGCTTCTTCGGCTCTGACCAAATGGTGGGGAATGGAAGTCAGAACTGAAGAAGCTTCTTGGAGGAGAAGCGAAATGCCTTCAAAGAAAAACAAGAAAGTCCAGTTGCCTCATGAAAAAAAGCAACTTTGGGACAACCCTGACCTGGATGACTGAGAATCTCCACAGACGTGTCTGCTAGCATCTCCTTCTCACAGCTATTTGCCCTCTTCTGCTCCTTTTTACTACGTTCTTTCCCTCGAGTGGCAGCCATAATGGATCCTGCCCATTACAATCGCAAGTCATGACGTGTGTAAAGCAGGCCATCACGTGACCAACCCCATTTTATGACCTTTTTAAAGTGGTGGTTGTTCAGGGAATCAACATGGCCGTTAGGTGAATCCACGGTCGTTAAGCAACAACACCGTTTTCCAGAGAACCCGTTGTTTGCTATTGGGTTGTTTTTTTGCCAATCGTAAATCACAGTCATGTGTGGTAAAAGTAGGGCAGTTGCCAAGCAACCTCAAAGGGGGTCTGGAACTTCAGAAGCTGGTCCTAAGTACCTTTTGGGAGTTTTAACTTTGAACGGTCGGTCGTAAGCCAAGAACTAACTGTAATTATGTGCCACAGTCCTTGGCTTACGACCAGTCATTTAGTGAAGCTCGTGAAGCAACTGGTTGTAGGTTGAGGACTATTTATATATCTATTGTCTGAATGCAAGCTGTGAGTTGTTTTCTGGTTCTATAGAGAATATGAAAATACAGGTTGTCCTCAACTTACAACCATTCAATTAATGGCCATTTAAAATTACAAGGGCACTGAAGTAAGTGAATTATGACCAGCTTTCACACTTACGACCGTTGTAGCATACCCCTGGTCACATGAACAAAATTCAGACATTTGGCCATTGACTCATGACAGTTGCAGTGTCCCAGGGTCATGTGATCAAAATTCAAACACTTGCAAATTGACTCCTAGTTATGACGGTCGCAGTGTCCCGGGTCACATGATCTCCTTTTGCGACCTTCTGAAAAGCAAAAATCAGTGGGGAAGCCAGATTCACTTAACAACCGTGTTACTGACTTTACAACTGCAATGATTCACTTAATAACTGTGGCAACAAAGCAGATAAAATGGGGCAAAATTCACTTAACAACTGTTTCACTTGGCAACATAAATGTTGGGGTCAATTGTGGTTGTAAGTCGAGGACTACCTATATTATGATATTTATGACCTGAGGTCATGTGATCCCCTTTTGCGACCTTCTGATAAGCAAAGTTAGTGGGGAAGATGGATTCACTTAGTGCCCGTATGCTTCACTTAACAACTGCACCAAGAAAAGTTGTAAAATGGAGAAAAACTCAGCAGCTGTCTCGCTTAACAACGGAAATTTTGGTGACCCCCTGCTCTAGTATGACCATGGAATAGTTCCACCATGGACATACCAACAGAACACACATGTTTCGCTGATCTGGGCAGAATCCACCCACCATTCTAATTCTTCTGTAGATGAAATGTCCTGCAAGGCATAAAAAAAGATTATTATTTTTCTTTTCCGCAAAGAAAACAAAACAAAAAAAGTCATGTACTCATTTTCTTCCTGATGCATTTCAGATGCTGCATCTGAATTAAGGTAGTCAAGATGCTCAATCAATCAATCATGGTTCGCCCTATCTTGTTTTCCATAAATTGAGCTATGTGTATGTAATCCATTTAATTAACTAGTCCCATCTCTGTAAAATACACCCCCACTTCCAAAGATACACACACATACACACAACTGTACAAACAGTCCATATACATAAATGATAGATAGAAAGAAAGAGATAGATAGATAGATATTATTTATTTTTATTCTGCCTTTTATTTTGTAACTAACTCAAGGTAGCAAACATATCTAATACCTGTCCTCCTATTTTCCTCACAACAAAAACAAGGGGGTTGGACTAGATGACCTCCAAGGTCCCTTCCAACATCATCATCATCATCATCATCATCTTCGTTGTTGTTGTGTTGTTGTTGTTGTTGTTGTTATCCTGTGAGGTAGATTGAACTGCAAGAGAAGGGCTGGTTCATATCACCCAGCTGGCTTTCATGCCTAAAGCAGGATCTCCTGGTGATTGGTCCAAAATCACCAAGCCAGCTTTCAGGACTAGAACTCTCAGTCTCCCAGTGATTGGGGCAGCCCCTGAGATACTGGAACTCTACTATCATGTCACCCCTATTTTTTCTTTTCACTAAACTAGACCAGGGGCTCTTTTATGATTCGTGGACTTCAACTCCCATAATTCCTGAGCCAGCCATGCTGAGGGGAAAGGGAGAGGTTTCCAAGCTGAGCCATGCTGGCTCAGGAATTCTGGGAGTTGAAGTCCATGAGTTGAAGCGGCCTAAGCTTAGACCAAGGGTAGGCCACCTTGGCTCTTTTATGACTCGTGGACTTCAACTCCAAGAATTCCTGAATCAGCATGGCTCAGCTTGGAAACCTCTCCCTTTCCCCTCAGCATGGCTGGCTCAGGAATTATGGGAGTTGAAGTCCACGAGTCATAAAAGAGCCAAGGTGGCCTACCCCTGGCCTTCTTCTTGTGCTATATCCAATATCGGACGTTGGCGATCATGTTGGCAATCCTGTTTTTATCAGCAGCCGCACGAAAAAGTGCTGCTGAGTTTTGTCCAAACCAGTCCCTTAGATTTTGAAGCCACGATGTTCTTCTTCTGCCAGGACCTTGTTTGCCTTCAAACCCCTGGCCTAGATATACCCAATTCCAGCAACCATTCCTCATATATTTTAGCCTCCAGTCCCCTGATCATCTTTGTTGCTCTTCTCTGGACTCTTTCTAGAGTCTCGACATCCTTTTTATATCGTGGTGGCCAAAACTGGATGCCGTATTCCAAGTGTGGAGTTACCAACTCAGGCCACCCTTGGAACAGTCCATCCGTCAACTGTGCCCTTAAGCTACCTGTGATCTTTGAAACTCGGAAACTCAGCTCTTCTGCCTCGAATGAGAGTCCCTGGGCAATTCTCAGTGAAATGAGTAGCTCTGATCTGTAAGCATGGCTGCTGCTAACGAAACTTCCCTCTTCTTTGCTTCTCACAGATTGATTACACCGGTTGCGGCATCAACCCTGCACGTTCTTTCGGATCAGCATTGGTGACCACTAACTTTGCCGACCACTGGGTAGGTTTCTGATCAGAATCCCAAGGCAGCCAGCCACGGGCCTCACGTAAGGGCTAAACTGGGAATCCTGCTGTTCAATCGAAGAAGTTCGTGGAAAATTACATTTGAGCTGCTCGGTGGGGAGAAATTGTTAAAAAAAGCTACGGAAAACAAAGAGAGAAGCACGTTAGAAGCAGAAGGAATCATCAAATATTTGGGGTGATGTCATTTTACACACACACACACACACACACACACACACACAAAATATATATAACCATTGCTGGCAACCATCACCCCAATCTTCAGGGGAGAAGCCCGTCTGCTGTTTCTTTCTGTTTCTAAAGCACGTGACATATCGGTTACTGAACATTGAACCTTGATTGGGTGACCATGGTGCAATGGTCATAAGTGCGAGGACCAGTCCTCAGTCCCTTATTTCCAGTGCCATCGTGACTTTGAAAGGTCGCTAAATGAACAGTTGTAAGTCAAGAACTATCTGTGTAGTCATTTCGCAGGTTCCCTAATGGTTTTCCTGCAGATGTTTCATGACCCAACTAGGTGACATCATCACTGCTTGGAGGAAATAGGGTTTGCAGAGATGAGGAGGAGGAGGAGGAGGAAGAGGAGGAGGAAGAGGAGGAGGAGGACTGTGGGGTCATTGGTGATCTCTAAGCTTCGTGATTTTCTTGCAGATGTTTCATGATCCACCTAGGTAACATTATCACTGTTAGAAGTGAATAGGATTTGCAAAGAGGAGGAGGAGGAGGAGGAGGAGGAGGAGGAGGAGGAGATTGTGACATCCTTGGTGTTCTCTGAGCTTGGTTCTTTTCTTACAGATGTTTTATGATCCAACTAGGTAACATTATCACTGTTAGAAGTGAATAGGTGGTGAACCTATGGCACGCATGCCACAGGCGGCATACAGAGCCGTCTCTGGTGGCACGCAAGTCATTGCTGGAGTGAGCTGTTCCCTCCTCCTCTCCATGCATGGACAGCTCTCCACGCATGCACAGTCTGGGAATACGCGAGAGGCTATAAAAGGAGCATCTTTTGGTGGAAGCAGCATTTGCTGCAGACAGTGAGAGAGTGAGCACAAGTCGGGGTGGATAGCGAGTGAGCGAGCGAGCGAGTGAACACAAGCTGACAGCTTGGTGGCCATGCCCACCTGACACCCAGCGATGCATAAGTGGGTTTTGGGTTGCAGTTTGGGCAGTCTCTAAAAGGTTCGCCACCATTGGAATAGGATTTGCAAAGAGGAGGAGGAGGAGAAGAAAATGGTGATATCCTTGATGCTCTCTGAGCTTGGTTCTTTTCTTGAAGACATTTTGAGACCCAACTAGGTAACATCATCAGTGCTAGAAGCTAGAATCCCACTCTCTTCTAGGACTAATGATGTTACCTAGTTAGGTCAGTAAATATCTTCAGGAAACAAGCAAGCTTAGAGAGCACCAAGGACCCCACAGTCCTCCTGCTTCTACTCCTGCTCCTTCTCCTTCTTTCTGGAAAACCCCTTCCCTTGTAGCATTGATGACATTAACACGCTGGGTCACGAAATGCCTGCAAGAAAATACCCCAAGCCCCCAAGCTCAGAGAGCACCAAGGACCCCACAGTTCAACGTGCATTGAGGGAACCTACAGGACAGTGATTGATTGACAGCTTGGCAGCTCTGCCAATCTGGGACAAACACAGCTGTATTGAACAGCACCCTCTTTGTGTTGAATTTCAGGTCTTCTGGGTTGGCCCCTTATTGGGGGGTGTCAGTGCAGCTCTCATCTACGACTTCATCCTGGCACCCCGAAGCAGCGAGATCACAGAACGCATGAAGGTTTGGACCACCGGCAACGTGGAAGAATATGACCTTGACGCCGATGACTCGCGAGTAGAGATGAAACCGAAATAAAAGGAAGGTCGGAAAAACACGGCACCCATTTCTGAAAATGTGCTCTTTTTTTACACTTGCCTCTGTTCGATCAGTATTATAGACTCTTTCTAAAACGACCTGCCATTTTTCCAAATGTTTTTATAAGTCGCTATGTTTTTATTTTTTTTTTCCTCTCCAAATTTCTGGATTGGGAGGGGAGCATCTTGGGAGAAATGAAGGGAGATGTTTCTAGAGCCTCATATTTTTGTTCTGGAGCCAGAAGGACAGGTGCCTTGAAAAATAGATTATTTTTGTATTATTTCAGCCCAGAGTGATAGCAAGAGTCTGCCTGCAGAAGGGAAGAAATATGGAAAAATATTATCCAGAGAGAGAAAAAAAAACACAGTCAAGGAAGGGCAATGCCTTGATATTAGTTTTTAGAAGTGAGAAAATCAGTGGGAAAAATAAATTTAGTAGAGTTTTCTAGAGCTTCTGGGCCATTTGGAGATATTAGGAAAATAAATATTTTTTTCCTATTGTTAGGGAATAGAATGCACGCATAAACAAATAAACACCCCCCACCCCCCACATTTTGTATAGATATATTTTGATTCTATGTCCTCAAATCAGTGTTGACTTATAAAAGCAACATAGAGACATGTTTCTTGAACTTTGCCCAATATAAGCTGGGGGGACTTCAACTCCCAGAATTCTGCTGCTGAGAATTGAAGTCCATACCTGTTAAAGCACGGGTCTGGGGAATTCTGGGAGTTGAAGTCCACCCATCTTAAGGTCACCAAGTTTGATAAAGACTGACAGAGAGTTGGTAGGCCTTCTCTAGGATGATAGTGTAGTTACCACTTCCAGAATCATTGAATATTAGATGGGACCCTAAGATCATCTAGTTCAGGGGTAGGCCACCTTGGCTCTTTTATGACTCGTGGACTTCAACTCCCAGAATTCCTGAGCCAGCATGGCTCAACTTGGAAACTCTCCCTTTCCCCTCAGCATGGCTGGCTCAGGAATTCTGGGAGTTGAAGGCCACGAGTCATAAAACTAAGGTGACCAACCTTTTTACAATGAAAAGGAGGACACAAATAAATTGAAGAAAAAATATTGTAAATAAAAGAAACATTTTATTCATTGTAACAATAATACAGAATACACTATACTATGATAAATGCATAATAAAAAACATTTGTAACAATAACATTTTATATTGTAATTATGGTTACATGCCAATTATTATTTAAATGAGTACTTTTCCATTGAATGAATATTTTTGTCAATGTATCATCTTCTAACAATATATTGGAAATATCTGAACAAGAAATAGCCTTCATATTGAATTTTATGGCAAGTGCTGCAGCTAGAGTATCAACATTCAATCTCGATTTCTCAGTTTTCCAAAAAGCATTAGCAATTGAAAAAACCCTTTCAACTTCTGCATTAGTTCTAGGGCAGCACAACGTAAATGGAACAAGAATAAATAAATTTTCACATGGAATATGTTCAATTTTTGAAATGGTTGAACATTTCCACCCATCTTTTATCAATTTCAACTGGTTTATTTTCCCATTGTATTAATTTTTCAGAATTTAAAAACACATTCAGTCTTCTAATTTCTTCAAAGAGACAATTGTCGTCTATTTTAATGTCTGGCATTTCTTTAGATAAAAACTCAACACAAGATTCAATATCTGTCCAATATACTTGCAGTGAAGTCAAAAAACACCATTAAAAACTGTTATTTCCTGTGATGTTTGTTTCAGATCATTCTTCGATATATTGAAAACATGTTTGGTAAAAATTCTGCACTTCTTTGATAAACTTTTCCTTTATGCCTGGATATGATTTCTCTAAGTTTGACAATTTTCTTTTTATAATGTTGATAAAGGAAGAATTTTTCTTCAAATCGAGTTTTATATTGAAGGATAAAGTCATTCAAAATAAGACTAACTTCTGTAGCTGAAATGTGTTCACCTTCAATCTTTTGTTTTTTTTATTTTTTTATTTTTTAAAATTTATTTTTAAACCAACAAAACAAAACATAACACACATACACACACAATACCCCCCCCCCCTTTTAACAGTGATTTCGTAACGGTAATCTTCTATTATTTACATTTCCCCCCCTTATTCTTCTTTAGAATATTTGTCCTTATTGTCCCGTTGTTTCTTATTTGCATTTTTCTTCCTTCATATATATTATTATTACTATATTATTATTATTATTATTATACACACATTTTCCACTTTTGACCTTTCCACATTTATTCTCTTCTATTATTTCTAGTCTCCAACCAATCATACCACTTGTTCCATATTAGATATCTTTTTAACAAAAGAGAATAAAGAAAAGGAAGACACCTTCAATCTTTTGAATCGTTTTGTGAAAAATAGATGCTTGATTATGTACAAAATACATTAATATCTCAGATATTTCTCATTATTGAAAAACGATTCCAGGATTTTAGGACATTTGTTTAAACTTAAAAAATATGAACAGAGAGGCTCAAATAATTGTAGAACATGTTCTATAGCAGGTGTTAGAGCAAGCCATCTAACTTTTGAATATCCTAAAAGTTTTTGGTATTGAACATTCGCTTCTTCACAAAATTGTTTTAAAGTAGCCACATGAACTAGTTATTATTACTTCTACATCAATTGGCATGGCACATGACGCCGTGTTGATTGCATTTGACAAAATATGTGCATTACAACCTATTCTTAGTATTTTCTTTTGGTGTAAATCTTGTAATTTTATATACACATTATTCACCCCTTTGCGTCTTCACCCACCAAAATTTGTGTTTGTATTATCAACTGTTAGTGCAACAACTTTGGATTTCAAATTGTTTTCATTTATTACTCTATATAGATGGTTTGACAAAATTTCAGCAGTTTCGCCCTCAATGGATTTTAAATTTAAAATTTTTACTTGAATGCCCTTGGTAACATTAAAATATCTTACTAGTATTGGATACAATTTAGTTTCATTATGATTGGATGCATCAGATAAAACCGTTACAAATGCTGCAGTTTCCAAGTCTTCTGTAAGTATTTTGTCACAGCAATTTTTAAATATTGATTTAATAATAGCCTCGCATTTTGTCCTTGCGCATGAAAATTTAGCATCGTGAAACTTTTTCAATTATTTAGTTGTACAATTCATACTATGAAAACTTTGATTGTGAATTACTGTATGGAATGCAAATGTTCCCTCCATTGCAGCTGTTTTTCATCTTCAGAATACTTTGAAGTTTTAAAAAAACTTGTTACTTTACAACTGGAAGCGGATGCATCTGATGATTGCTTATGTTTCTTGGTGGTCAAGTGTTCTCCAGAACTGGAGATGGAAGAATCCACCAATGGGTTTAGACTGTATTCCTGCCCAATCAGATCAAGTCAGCCAAAGCTGCCACGCCCGTCCTGGACCATAGAGATCCCAGTCTTGACTTGATCTCACCCAGGACAGACATGCAAAAGTGGCTCTTAGGCAGGTACAGTCTTTATTGGTGGATTTTCCATTTCCCCAGTTTGCTGAACTGTGCTGTTTTCAGCACAGAATTTGGCTTTCTAGCAGCAATTTAGTTACCATTCAGGAACATCCTAAATTCCCAATTCAATTCCTGACTGGGGGGGGGGGACAGAAATTGAGTTTCCAAGGAAGGGGATCCTTCCTTACCCCTCTTCTCCCCACCCTGAGAAATTGTTCTCCCTCAGCCCCTAATTTGGCTGTTTTCACCTGGGGACTAACGGCTGTTAGTCCTCAACTGATTCTGACTCGTCCTCATTCCTACCAGCTCCGGTGACTGGATACAAGCGTCGGTGGGGGAGGCTTTTGTTGCGATGCGCCCAGGATCTTTCTCAAGAATCCCACGTGGCAATATTGGAAGAAAAACTTACTGCCTACTTTGGAAGACTGGATACTTAAAGTGTCTAATTTAGCAGAAATGGCGAAAATCTCTGCCTACTTGAAGGACCATTCACAAGAAAGATATATTATGATTTGGAGAAGAAGGATTGATTATATACAAAAGAAATATTAAACTGAAAAGTATTACTTTGCTTTTGAGTAGATTTTAGATAAGTATTAATAGTTTTAATTATATTATTAGTTTTGTCTTAATTTGTTAATATTAATTTTGAGAAGGAGTTAAAGTGTGTTATGGTTTTGGTTGATAGTATAGTTGGTTTATGTTAGTTAGATTATGTTTGTTTATTTTTTTCCCTGTAATCAGCTCTGGGAAGTGGGGGAGGGGAGGAAGGGGTGGGGGGATTTATATTGTAATAAATTTATAAAACTTTAAATAAAAAAAAAGAATCCCATGTGGCCAACTTTTATTTAGAGCTGCGGCTGCAGCTCCGGTGTTTGTTTGAGCTCGTCGCCTCTTTTTTTGCCTCAATTGATTTTGGGGCCTACGATCGTCCCTTTCATGGCCGGAAGCGTGCCGCGCACCAAACAGCCACTGCCGATCAGCTGTTTGGCGGCTGATTGGAGGGAGGAATACTCCGTTTTTTTGTTTTCTTCACCTAATTGCCATCTTGGGGTGCAGACTCTCCCCAGGACAAGGGAGTGCTCGTTCTGTGCCAGCGTCTTCCCCTGGAGCCTCCCAGATCATGGCAGGGCTAGCCTCCTTCTCCATGTGTGGCCGCCATCTTGGACCACATGGTCCCTGAACTCGGTTCCGCTCCATCATATAACAGAAATACTGGAGGAAGGGGCTCCTTCCTCCTCAATCTTTGCCCTTCTTACTTGTTGCTGGAGAGGGGGTTTGCCATTGGGGGAGGCGGACTGAGTCAGGCAGTCTGGGGAGAGCAGATTCTCAGGCCCACCATTGGCAAGCAGGCCGCCATTTTGGGGATGGCCGCCATCTTGTTAGCCAGATAGGCCCACTTTTACCTCGAGGCCTGATACCCCCAGGTGCACCTAGCCCCTTCAAGGCACAGTTTGCAATCTTGTCTTGGGTTCACCTGAGCTTTATTCAACTCAAGATCTGTCAGGCAATCATTACAGATCTCCATAACTCTCCTCACACATTATTGTTATTGGTCCCTTTCGGACCTGGTGTCTTCTGGCTTCACCTTGCTCATACCAGACTCATCATGACCTTGAGCTTACTAAAGTACCAACAATTTTATCTGGATTGCAGGCATCCCCTATCGTGCGCCTGTTCTTATCCACAACAGCCCTATCTAGATTCCAGGCGCCCCCCGCCGTGCTTCTGTTCTTATCCACGCAACAGCTATAGCTGGATTCCAGGCATCCCCTGTTGTGCACCTGTTCTTATCCACGCAGCAACTTTACCTGGATTCCAGGCATCCCCTATAGTGCTCCTCTCCTTATCCAGTGTATAATATTCTCTGGATACCAGGGGTCCCCTATCGTGCTCCTGTGTTATCAGAGAATGGAGGATTCTTTGCCTTCCACAAAGGGCGTTTTTGCCGTCTTCATTGGCTCCAATGATTCCTACTTCATCTAGTCTGGAGGGCGCTGACAGGGCTGGGGCCAAAACCAAGGCCAGATCTACTGCCAAGACCTCCAAGAGAGCTGAAAAGCAGGCCAGCCGGAGACACCAAGCCTTAGAAAAGGAATTTTCAGAAAATAGCTAGGTTAGAGACCTCTCAAGCCGAAGGGTTGAACTTTGACCTACCCCTGGGGCCCCCAACTTCCCTCCTGGGGATATGGTCGATGGGAGAACCTTTACATTCCCTGGCACAGTGCGGGATGGGGGGAGTTCTCACCATTTCCTAATCCACTGCCTCCCGGGCTCACCACGGGACCCCCGAGGCTACCTTCACCCCTACTGCAGCCGGGCTTCGGCCTAGCGAACTTGTTCCCCTCCCCACGGAGGATCGTCTAGCCTTGCTGATTGCACAAGCGGTAGACCACACTCTTGAGACCAGAGCGCAAGCTCCTAGGCCAGCGGCGATCACTCATCTTCCTATTCATCAACTGGTTCCTGAAACCTATTACGCTCCTTCTTCCACATCTGG